AGCAGTTGGGAAAAGGAACCCTTCCAATCTGAGGGACCCGGAGCAGGTGGGGAAAGGAACCCTTCCAATCTGAGGGACCCGGAGCAGGTGGGGAAAGGAACCCTTCCAATCTGAGAGACCCGGAGCAGTGGGGAAAGGAACCCTTCCAATCTGAGAGACCCGGAGCAGTGGGGAAAGGAACCCTTCCAATCTGAGAGACCCGGAGCAGGTGGGGAAAGGAACCCTTCCAATCTGAGAGACCCGGAGCAGTGGGGAAAGGAACCCTTCCAATCTGAGGGACCCGGAGCAGGTGGGGAAAGGAACCCTTCCAATCTGAGGGACCCGGAGCAGTCGGGGAAAGGAACCCTTCCAATCTGAGGGACCCGGAGCAGTGGGGAAAGGAACCCTTCCAATCTGAGGGACCCGGAGCAGTCGGGGAAAGGAACCCTTCCAATCTGAGGGACCCGGAGCAGTTGGGAAAGGAACCCTTCCAATCTGAGAGACCCGGAGCAGTCGGGGAAAGGAACCCTTCCAATCTGAGGGACCCGAGCAGTCGGGGAAAGGAACCCTTCCAATCTGAGAGGACCCGGAGCAGTCGGGGAAAGGAACCCTTCCAATCTGAGAAACCCGGAGCAGGTGGGGAAAGGAACCCTTCCAATCTGAGGTACCCGGAGCAGGTGGGAAAGGAACCTTCCAATCTGAGAGACCCGGAGCAGTGGGGAAAGGAACCCTTCCAATCTGAGAGACCCGGAGCAGTTGGGGAAAGGAACCTTCCAATCTGAGAGACCCGGAGCAGGTGGGGAAAGGAACCCTTCCAATCTGAGGGACCCGGAGCAGTGGGGCAGGTGGGTAAAGGAACCCCTTCCAATCTGAGAGACCCGGAGCAGGTGGGGAAAGGAACCCTTCCAATCTGAGGGGCCCGGAGCAGGTGGGGAAAGGAACCCTTCCAATCTGAGGGGCCCGGAGCAGGTGGGGAAAGGAACCCTTCCAATCTGAGAGACCCGGAGCAGGTGGGGAAAGGAACCCTTCCAATCTGAGAGACCCGGAGCAGGTGGGGAAAGGAACCTTCCAATCTGAGAGACCCGGAGCAGGTGGGGAAAGGAACCCTTCCAATCTGAGAGACCCGGAGCAGGTGGGGAAAGGAACCCTTCCAATCTGAGAGACCCGGAGCAGGTGGGGAAAGGAACCCTTCCAATCTGAGAGGGCCCGGAGCAGGTGGGGAAAGGAACCCTTCCAATCTGAGAGACCCGGAGCAGGTGGGGAAAGGAACCCTTCCAATCTGAGAGACCCGGAGCAGGTGGGGAAAGGAACCCTTCCAATCTGAGGGACTCAGAGCAGTTGGAGGAAGAAGAGCGATCCAAAATTCCAGTAGAGAGGTGGAAGAAACTCATTGATGGTTCCAGGAAGTCATTGATTTCAGGGATTGTTTGCAAGGGGCGTGCCACCAAATATTACATGGAGGGTGCCAATAATTCTGTCCATTTTGGGGTTCTGGGGGGATGGGTCAGATTTTGCTTTTTGTTTCTCCACCTTTTTTTTGTGTCACCGATACAAACCAAAGAAATAAACACGAGAATGCCGAAACATTTGTCATGGCAATTTTCTGGGTGAAGTGGGGCGTTATCGGACAGAAATGTGCATTAGAAGCTGCAGCCAGTCAGGCAGAGCTCCGCCTCATTTTCTGGCCGGAGGACGTCCATCATCATCTAGCCATTTCCTCCCCAGCTTGGCTGTCGCCGGCCCCTCCCCTTTCATTCATTGGATTCCAGTTCCTTCAGTCATGGAGGCTCAGCATCACACGTGGACGTTACCTATCACCCTGCCCCTCCACCCAGCCTGAACCCCCTGCATTGCATAGAGAAGCAAAGAGACCCAGTGATGAAAGTATGCCGGGAAAACAGATTTTTTTATTAATAAGTTTATTATGTTGATGAGGGGAAGGCGGAGTCAGGGAAGGCGGATCAGGGAAGGCGGAAATTAGCAAATAAAATGAAAATAATTTTTTTTGGATTAGAGAAGAATTTCAGTTTAATTAAAGCAACTTGGATCTAAAAACAAACAAACAGGTTTTATACTTCCCGTCCCGCCGCCAATTCCTCGAATTTCAATTGTCTTGCAGAGCAAGGCCGCCAGCGTTCGGCTGAGACCCTCATTCTGATTCGCCGTCGGGTGTCCTGATCCCCTGATGAAGAGCTGTGGCTCCACCCACCAGCCGCCATTTCTCATGTTTTCAGGGACAGAGAAGTGACAGGTGAGAGGAACCGCAGATTGCAGTCGGGGGCAGGGACTCTATAACACGGACCTCCACTGACAGAGGATCGGGAAGAGCGACTCAAATCCAGATCTAAGGAGCCGATATTCATCGATCACCAATCAGATCCAAGCAGCTTCCCATTTCCAGTCCAGGATCGATGTGGAAGAACGGGAATGTCCGTCACTTGTCGCTGGGACAGAGGTCCTGACCCCTCCCCGGTGTCATGGATTGGTCAGTCTTCCCATTGCTTCCTGTCCCAATAGGAGGGGAAATCTGCCATTCGGGGATCAGAAATAAACACCGACAGACGTTCGATCTCTTCTACATTCTGCAAGACTGAAAGCAAACATTTGTCTGGAGATCGTCACAATGGAGTCAGAACATCGCCCTGTAATGTGCGTTGTCACCCCAGAACTGCCGCCGCGCACAGAGCGAAACACGAAATGCGTATCGGATGGTGAGCGAGAGAAGAAGTAGAGGGCACCGTCCTGCGGGGGGCGCAGCTGAGACAGGAGCCTCTCCTGCACTGTACAGACCGAACTGTCAGAGTGAAGTCTCAGTCCTCCTGCTGCAGAACGGCTGAGATCCTCCTCCAAGTCACAGCTACTCGTAGCAGTTATTGTAGGCCCGGCGTCCTGTGCTGGATCGCTTTTCAGAGGCATTGTCAGATGATAACCATGGAAAGCCCTCAGCACTGTACATTGTACACGTACATTTCACTGTGGAGTGGTCGGGGCCCATGCAATTCAATGGGTTGTGTATGGCGGTGGGTCATCTGCTGCAATGTGCACTAACATGGCCGCTGGATGTGTTGGGGCAGAAAAACCGAGGCTTAGCGTCCAGTCATTACTGACCCATGACTGCCTGGGTAGAGAGGCCTAAGTGAGGGCGGCAATCCCATTCCCTGGCAGTGCAGAACCCATTCACACAGCTGGGGGGCGGTAAAGCCGTAATACCTGCCATGTAAAGGTGACCTTATAGCAAGTCTTCTATTCAGGAGATATCCACAGCGGCTCCAGCCAATGAGGTCACTGCGCATGCACAGCGCCCCCTACAGTCATTACTGAGTGTGCCCTGAATGCAGAGTGCCGTGCGTCTTGTGCGCATGTGCGGGAGTGACGTCATCGCGGCCAGAGACCCCAAACCTGGAAGGAAGACCAGGAAAGATGAGAACGCTGGCAGCGGTGATGGCGCAGTGCTGGAGCTTTAAAGGTCATTTATGGTAGAGAAGTCCTATGGAGTGGATAGCAGGGGCGGAGTCTATGCATTCATTTGCTGCCATGGAGACAATCAGGAAAGGTAAATTGCGGAAAATATTTGCCAGTTCCCTGTTCTCACCTGTGACCGTCAGCTCCATCTAGTGGCCGCAATGCGGTAGTTTTGGCACTTTGGATCCCGAGGTCCTTGTCGTGGCGCTGGACTCAGCGATCGTATAATGAGGCCAGGAGCAAAAATATACAGGGAAGGGGACCCCGTGGGGTCCCTGTACACGGTGCTGGAATCCTCCTGGTGTATGCATGCAAACATTCTTCCAGCTATGACATCATCGACTGTTCCAGAGGAGGCGGGATTTGGGTGTCAAATACCGACCAATAATGTCAATTTGTATGCTTTTTATCTAAATGTGGCGATATTTTACCAATATTGACACTCCTGTGTGTACAGAGCCATTGAAAGTAATGAGCCGCATTCACATCAGGAAACACCCGAATGCCCAACAATGTGGCGTGTTTGGCGCCTGCGCATAAGTGTTCTGTAAGATCGCATTCCGGAAACACGTGAAAAACACGCTGCAAACACGCTGCAAACGTATGCTGTGCTCGTGGCATTATTGTTAGTAGCGGCTTGCAGGCGCAGGTTTAGTCACGCTACAAACGCATCAAAACAATACAAAAAGTGTGACCCTCTATGGCCAAAAAGGTGTGGGAGAGTCTTTGGTGCGTTTGTCCCGCAAGGGGCCCTAAATGTCCTGCGGTCACAATGTAGCGATGATGACACGAGGCTGCAACAATGTTACTTGGCAGAGAAGAAATCGCCCCCTCTCAGCACTCTCTTATCATTCCCGCACACACACCACACTGGAGGGAATACACCGACAGTACACACAAACGGCCAGCAGGTGGCGCTGCGGGAGAGTCCATCACATCACCCAATATAGAGATACACTACACTGCCCCAAGTATTGTCCCCCTCCCCCAATCATGGGAATCATGGGATTCAGGTGTTCCAATCCCCCCAAATCATGGGATTCAGGTGTTCCAACCCCTCCAAATCATGGGATTCAGGTGTTCCAATCCCCCCCCCCAATCATGGGATTCAGGTGTTCCAATCCCCCCAATCATGGGATTCAGATGTTTCCAATCCCCCCCCCCCCCCCAATCATGGGATTCAGTGTTCCAATCCCCCCCCAATCATGGGATTCAGGTATTCCAATCCCCCAATCATGGGATTCAGGTGTTCCAATCCCTCCAAATCATGGGATTCAGGTGTTCCAATCCCCCCCCCCCAATCATGGGATTCATGTGTTCCAACCCCCCCCCCCCCCCTCCAATCATGGGATTCAGTGTTCCAACCCCCCCCCCCCCCCCAATCATGGGATTCAGGTGTTCCAATCCCTCCAAATCATGGGATTCAGGTGTTCCAATCCCCCCCCCCCCAAATCATGGGATTCAGGTGTTCCAACCCCCCCCCCCCCCCCCCCAATCATGGGATTCATGTGTTTCCAATCCCCCCCCCAATCATCATGGGATTCAGGTGTTCCAACCCCCCCCCCCCAATCATGGGATTCAGGTGTTCCAATCCCCCCCCAATCATGTGATTCAGGTGTTCCAATCCCCCCCCCCCAATCATGGGATTCAGGTGTTCCAATCCCCCCAAATCATGGGATTCAGGTGTTTCCAATCCCCTCCAATCATGGGATTCAGGTGTTCCAATCCCCCCAAATCATGGGATTCAGGTGTTCCAATCCCCCCCCCAATCATTGGATTCAGGTGTTCCAATCCCCCCAATCATGTGATTCAGGTGTTCCAATCCCCCCCCCAATCATGGGATTCAGGTGTTTCCAACCCCCCCCCCAATCATGGGATTCAGGTGTTCCAATCCCCTCCAATCATGGGATTCAGGTGTTCCAATCCCCCCCCAATCATGGGATTCAGGTGTTCCAATCCCCCCCCCCAATCATGGATTCAGGTGTTCCAATCCCCCCCCAATCCCCAATCATGGGATTCAGGTGTTCCAATCCCCCCCCCCCCCAATCATGGGATTCAGGTGTTCCAATCCCCTCCAATCATGGGATTCAGGTGTTCCAATCCCCCCCAATCATGGGATTCAGGTGTTCCAATCCCCCCCAATCATGGATTCAGGTGTTCCAATCCCCCCCCCAATCATGTGATTCAGGTGTTCCAATCCCCCCCAATCATGGGATTCAGGTGTTCCAATCCCCCCCCCAAATCCCCCCAATCATGGGATTCAGGTGATTCCAATCCCCCCCCAATCATGGGATTCAGGTGTTCCAATCCCCTCCAATCATGGATTCAGGTGTTCCAATCCCCTCCCAATCATGGGATTCAGGTGTTCCAATCCCCTCCCATCATGGGATTCAGGTGTTCCAATCATGGGATTCAGGTGTTCCAATCCCCCCCCCCCCATCATGGATTCAGGTGTTCCAATCCCCTCCCCCATATCATGTGATTCAGGTGTTCCAATCCCCTCTCAATCATGTGATTCAGGTGTTCCAATCCCCTCCACATCATGTGATTCAGGTGTTCCAATCCCCTCCATATCATGTGATTCAGGTGTTCCAATCCCCTCCATATCATGTGATTCAGGTGTTCCAATCCCCTCCACATCATGTGATTCAGGTGTTTCAATCCCCTCCATATCATGTGATTCAGGTGCTCCAATCCCCTCCATGGACACAGTTGTATACAATCAAGCCCCTAGGCATGCAGACGGCTTCTACAAACATTGGTGAAAGAATGGGTCGCTCTCAGGAGCTCAGTGACTCCAAGCGTGGTCCCGTGATAGGTGGCCACCTGGGCAATAAGTCCATCCGTGACATTTCCTGGCTACTAAATATTCCACGCTCAACTGTTAGTGGGATTATAACAAAGTGGAAGACACTGGGAACAACAGCCACTCAGCCACCAAGTGGTAGGCCACGTCACATGACAGGGCGGGGTCAGCGCATGCTGAAGCGCACAGTGCGCAGAAGTCACCAACTGTCTGCAGAGTCAATAGCTAAAGACCTCCAAACTTGGTGTGGCCTTCAGATGAGCCCAACAACAGTGCGTAGAGAGCTTCATGGAATGGGTTTCCATGGCCGAGCAGCTGCATCCAAGCCTTCCATCACCAAGTGCAATGCAAAGCGTCGGATGCCGTGGTGTAAAGCACGCCGCCACTGGACTCTAGAGCAGAGGAGGCGTGTTCTCTGGAGGGACCAATCACGCTTCTCTGTCTGGCAATCCGATGGACGTGTCTGGGTTTGGTGGTAGCCAGGAGAACAGTACTTGCCTGACTGCATTGTGCCAAGTGTAAGGTTTGGTGGAGGGGGATTATGGTGGGGGGTTGTTTTTCAGGGGTTGGACTTGGCCCCCTAAATCCAGTGAAGGGAACTCTTAAGGCGACATTTTGGACAATTTGATGCTCCCAAGTTTGTGGGAGGAGTTTGGGGACGGCCCCTTCCTGTTCCAACATGACTGCCCACCAGTGCACAAAGCAAGGTCCATAAAGACATGGAGGAGCCAGTTTGGGGTGGAGGAACTTGACTGTCCTGCACAGAGTCCTGACCTCAACCCCATAGAACACCTTTGGGATGAATTAGAGCGGAGACTGCGAGCCAGGCCCCCCTCCCCCCGACATCAGTGCCTCCTCCCCCGACATCAGTGCCTGACCTGACAAATGTGCTTCTGGAAGAATGGTCCAACCTTCCCATAGAGACCCTCCTAAACCTTGTGGACGGCCTTCCCAGAAGAGTTGAAGCTTATAGCTGCAAAGGGCGGGGGGCCAACTCAATATTGAACCCTACGGACTAAGACTGGGGGGGGGCCATTAAAGGTCATGTGTGTGGAAAGGGCGGGGCCAACTCAATACTGATCCCTACGGACTAAGACTGGGGGGCCATTAAAGGTCATGTGTGTGGAAAGGGCGGGGCCAAATCAATATTGAACCCTACGGACTAAGACTGGGGGGGCCATTAAAGGTCATGTGTGTGGGGGAAAGGGTGGGGCCAACTCAATATTGGATCCTACGGACTAAGACTGGGGGGCCATTAAAGGTCATGTGTGTGGAAGGGCGGGGCCAACTCAATATTGAACCCTACGGACTAAGACTGGGGTGCCATTAAAGGTCATGTGTGTGGGAAGGGCGGGGCCAACTCAATATTGAACCCTACGGACTAAGACTGGGGGGCCATTAAAGGTCATGTGTGTGGGAAGGGCGGGGCCAACTCAATATTGAACCCTACGGACTAAGACTGGGGGGCCATTAAAGGTCATGTGTGTGGAAAGGGCGGGGCCAACTCAATATTGAACCCTACGGACTAAGACTGGGGGGCCATTAAAGGTCATGTGTGTGGAAAGGGCGGGGCCAACTCAATATTGAACCCTACGGACTAAGACTGGGGGGCCATTAAAGGTCATGTATGTGGAAAGGGCGGGCCAACTCAATACTGAACCCTACGGACTAACCCCTGGTTCACATATCTGCGTTCCTGCGGGCTGCATTTTGCGCGGGTCCTCATTTTTCTGTATGGGTGGTGCGGTTGCACTGATTTATGTGCGGAACCGCAGTGGCACCTCCCGCACAGATGTGACCCTAGCCTAAGACTGGGGGGCCATTAAAGGTCATGTGTGTGGAAAGGCCGGCGGTCCAATACTAGGGACAATATAGTGTATAGGTAACACGCGCCTGCAGTACACAAAAACGGCCAGCAAGTGGCGCTGCGGGGGCGTCTTCCAGCCACATCACCCAATACAGACCGATAGGTAACTCGCCTGCAGTACACACAAGCGGGGATTCAGCAGGGCGGCGCTGCGGGAGAGTTTCTACACTTCTGTTTGTTGAGTAAACTCGGAAAAAAGAGCGAAAGTAGAAAAAACAAACAGCGAGGCTGGAGGACCGGAGAGGACCGGGGGAGGGGACTGGAGGACCGGAGAGGACCGGGGGAGGGGACTGGAGGACCGGAGAGGACCGGGGGAGGGGACTGGAGGACCGGAGAGGACACACGGTGGCTGTACGGAGGGGTCCTGTGATTGGGGTGAACATTCTTCTACAGGCTGACCAGCAGGTGGCTCTGGGAGTTGGGAGTCCATAGACTGGGGCTGCACTGGGACCCTCCGGGGGGATTCTCCTCCACCTGAGGCACTTATAAGGGAAGTTATAGCAAGGCTCCTCCACTTGGGGCAATTACAGGGGTCCTCCCAGTTCAGGGGCAATTACAGGGGTCCTCCCAGTTCAGGGGCAGATACAGGGGTAGTTGGTGGGGTGTTCCCTCTATCGGGTCAGGTAGCGGGGTGTCACTTCTGTTGGGTCAGGTAGTGGGGTGTTCCCTCTATCGGGTCAGGTAGCCGGGTGTCACTTCTGTTGGGTCAGGTATTGGGGTGTCACTTCTGTTGGGTCAGGTAATGGGGTGTTCCCTCTATCGGGTCAGGTAGCGGGGTGTCACTTCTGTCGGGTCAGGTATTGGGGTGTCCCTTCTATTGGGTCAGGTAGCGGGGTGGTCCCTCTATCGGGTCAGGTGTTGGGGTGTCCCTTCTATTGGGTACAGTTGGGGTCCCCTCTTATGTGACCCCCCTGCCAGAATACGCAGCACATGCAGGTGAGATCAGAGGGGGTCAGTCTGTCTTGTTGCGCCCCCTGGGGGATTGTGTAGAAGGCGGGTGGCACCCCTCACCCTGTAGCAGCCCCCCCTCGGTGGGTGTCATTGGAGAGACATAGGGCAGAGTTGTCGTGAGGATCATCGGGGAGGAGACTGGTCCGATTTAAAAGCTGTAAGGAGTCAGAAGGAGTTCCTGGAGGGGGGAGGGGGGGGTGCTGATCTCATCGTGAGTGGTGGGGAGGGTCCGATTCGAGGAGCAGATCACTGAGAACTTTTTAGTGGAGGACGGGGAGGTCCTGTGTGGAGGTGCCCCCCCCCCCCCCGCCTGTCATTCAATGGGAGCACCTCTCAGATTGACTTCTATACACATCAGTGGCTGGGAGCAGCATGGCCTGACCGGAGGGACCTGGAGGGATCTGAGCCCACCGCTGGCCGCCTGCACCCCCTCCCCCACCTGGGACTATTACTCCTCCTGAGAGGGACTGCTCATCCACCTGGCTATGGACTTCCAAGTCCTGTGTGGGGCGCTCTTCTGGCTGCTGCTGCCGCTCTCCCTCTTAGCAGGTAAGTCGCTCAATCCCTTTCCTGCTGTCATATGGCCGGGCTGTGAGAAGCAGCTGATTGAAGTGGGAGAAGCTGCTGGGGGGGAATCGGGAAGCTGCGGGATCTGACTTGTTGTTCCGGGGCTGTCCCTGTCCTTCCTGGGGAGTCGCTCTCCATGCCAGGACACCAGGTAGGTCTGATGATCCCGGTCCGTGGATCGGATCGATCGATGAGGTGGGTGACGACCCCGGAACCTTCACAGAACAAGTCAGCAATTGCAGCTTTCTCTGCCCAGAGATACGAAGGATTCACACGGTCTGTCCGAGATTCACACAACATTCACCTGAAGACATTCACCTGAAGACATTCACCTGAAGACATTCACCTGAGCAAATATGTGACATTCCTATGACACTTTCTTATGTTTGTGCAAAGGTATAAAATCTGCCGCCACCGCGTGTGTCTCCGGCCGCCACCGCGTGTGTCTCCGGCCGCCACCGCTGTGCGTGTCTCCGGCCTCCACTGCGTGTGTCTCTGGCCGCCACATGCTCCTCCCCTTGTATGGTGCCAGACGCCGCGCACATTTCCGTTTGTAGACGCAGCTGTGTGTACAATCCCATTGATTCCTATAGACGTGTACAAAGCCACACAGTGGCTGCGATTCCTACAGGAGAGACTTCTATAGACTGAAATGTCAGATCAGCGAAGTGTACCAAGATCATCCATGAGCCGTGTAATCAGACACGTGTGTGCAGTGCAAGCATGTGTGTTCATTATGGGTGGAGTCGAGAACTGGTAACAGGCGGGGAGCCCCCGTCCGTGGCAGCGTTTTGCGGGGAGCCCCGTCCGCGGCATCGTCTTGCGGGGAGCCCCCGTCCGCGGCATCGTCTTGCGGGGAGCCCCCGTCCGTGGCAGCGTCTTGTAAGGAGCCCCCGTCCGTGGCATCGTCTTGTAAGGAGCCCCCGTCCGCGGCAGCGTCTTGTGGGGAACCCCCCGTCCGCAGCAGCGTCTTGCGGGGAGCCCCCGTCCGCGGCAGCGTCTTGCGGGGAGCCCCCGTCCGCGGCAGCATCTTGCGGGGAGCCCCGTCCGCGGCAGCGTCATGCTGGGAGCCCCCGTCCGCGGCAGCGTCTTGCGTGGAGCCCCCGTCCGCGGCAGCGTCTTGCGTGGAGCCCCCGTCTGCGGCAGCGTCTTGCGGGAGCCCCCGTCTGCGGCAGCGTCTTGCGGGGAGCCCCGTCCGCGGCAGCGTCTTGCGGGGAGCCCCGTCTGCGGCAGCGTCATTCTGGGAGCCCCCGTCCGTGGCAGCGTCTTGCGTGGAGCCCCCGTCCGTGGCAGCGTCATGCTGGGAGCCCCCGTCCGTGGCAGCGTCTTGCGTGGAGCCCCCGTCCGTGGCAGCGTCTTGCGGGGAGCCCCCGTCCGCGGCAGCGTCTTGCGGGGAGCCCCCTGTCCGCGGCAGCGTCTTGCGGGGAGCCCCGTCTGCGGCAGCGCCAGATGGTGGAATAAGTGGCGGGCTTCTTGGTTTTGGTTTGTGGTTGTGACTTTATATAGAAAATTCGATTTATCGAATACGAATGAATTGTCTGATTGGACCCTCCGGCCCCCCGTGGC